CATGGTCGATGACGGCAGGACGATGTGATGGCGGGTGATGAGATGCGGACGAGCGGAGGACGAGGACGATGCGGAACGATGAGGACGCATGATCGATGCACGGCAGGACCATGATGGACGATGCGGACGTAAGCTGAGGACCGATGATGACGATGGGACGAGCGATGACGGTGGAACGATGAGTGATGGTGGCCGATGTGACTCTGTGCGATGATGACCGATGATGACTGTCGATCGATGACGTATGGACGATGCCTCATGGACCGATGATGACCTGATGATGACCAGCTGACTCATGGACGATGATCTGGCGGACCTGACGATGACTGATGATGACTCTGCCCTGACCATGACCATGGACGATGATGACCCGCGGACTGAGTGACCCGCGATGAACGATTTGACCATGGCCCATCATGACGATGACCTGCGATGATCTGATGCGACGATGACGATGATGACCCATTGTAGGATAGTGTGGATGGTGGCCATGAACGAGTGAGCCATGATGAGCGATGAGGTGTGATGGTTGACCAGGACCATGAGGGGGTGAGATGTGCATGGTGGCGCCCGATGAGCATGGTGTGGTGGGTGTGAGGAATTTGAGTGTACAGACGGTGACCATGGTGTAGCGATGCTACAGTGAGGAGGGATGGTAGGACTCAGTGTGATGGTGTGGAGGCGATGATGTGATGGGATGAGTGTGATGGTGTGAGGATGAGTGTGATGGTGTGAGGATGAGTGTGATGGCGTGAGGATGAGTGTGGATGGTGGGACGAGTGTGATGGTAGGATGAGTGTGATGGTGTGAGGGTGAGTGTGAGGATGAGTGTGATGGCGTGAGGATGAGTGTGATGGCGTGAGGATGAGTGTGATGGCGTGAGGAGTGTGATGGCGTGAGGATGAGTGTGATGGCGTGAGGATGAGTGTGATGGCGTGAGGATGAGTGTGATGGCGTGAGGATGAGTGTGATGGTGTGAGGATGAGTGTGATGGTGAGGATGAGTGTGATGGTAGGATGAGTCTGATGGTGTGAGGATGAGTCTGATGGTGTGAGGATGAGTGTGACGGCGTGAGGATGAGTGTGATGGTAGGATGAGTCTGATGGTGTGAGGATGAGTCTGATGGCGTGAGGATGAGTGTGATGGCGTGAGGATGAGTGTGATGGCGTGAGGATGAGTGTGATGGCGTGAGGATGAGTGTGATGGCGTGAGGATGAGTGTGATGGCGTGAGGATGAGTGTGATGGTGTGAGGATGAGTGTGATGGCGTGAGGATGAGTGTGATGGCGTGAGGATGAGTGTGATGGTGTGAGGATGAGTCTGATGGTGTGAGGATGAGTGTGACGGCGTGAGGATGAGTGTGACGGCGTGAGGATGAGTGTGATGGCGTGAGGATGAGTGTGATGGCGTGAGGATGAGTGTGATGGCAGGATGAGTCTGATGGTGTGAGGATGAGTGTGACGGCGTGAGGATGAGTGTGATGAGTGTAATGGTGTGCTTACAGGAGCAGGAGGTGAGATGCAGGCATATCAGATTCGCTCGTCGTCGTCAGCGATGCCTCAAACCGTCGTCATGACATCACCAGTCATCAGTTCTCAGGGAAAGAGTGACGACCCTCAGATGAAGAGAGAGATTCGCCTCGCCAAAAACAGGTCTGTCTCTCTCTCTCTCTCTCTCTCTCTCTCTGTCTGTCTTCTAAAATGATCACAGTATGGATCAGTTGTTTAGAAACACACTTGGGCCTGTTGTGAGAATTAAAGGAGATTTTGGGACCAGATCCGAACACGAAGGGCACTCGCACCGTGTACAGAGAACAGGACGATCAAATCCTCCAACTCTTCTTTCTTCTGATGGGAATGTTTAGTCAGTTTTCTGGATGTGTGTGTGTGAGAGAGAAAAGAGCGAGTGCTTCCTGGAGCATCTTCATTCAGAAGTCAGTGGTGAAGGAACGTTCTGTACACACACTGTGACTAACCACCACTCTGTCGTGTCTCGGCGCGTATTTCTTTCTTTCTTTCCCACATGTTTCCCTTCACCTGCCCCACACAGTGTACAACCCTCTGCTCTAATCTGTTTACTTTATATACTGAGTAACTGATTACACACCACCGTGTGTGTGTGTGTGTGTAGGGAGGCGGCTCGTGAGTGTCGCAGGAAGAAGAAGGAGTACGTGAAGTGCCTGGAGAACCGCGTGGCCGTGCTGGAGAACCAAAACAAAACGCTGATCGAAGAGCTCAAGACGTTAAAGGACCTGTACTGCGTCAAAACGGGCTAACGGGTAGCGCTGTGCTAAATGGACAGTACTTGCAGCTCTGCCTACACACACACACACACACACACACACACACACACACAGGGAATGTAAGTTCCTTGTTTTTATACTCCTTTTTAACTAACAGCTTAGGAAGCGCAGGTCTCTCTCTCTCTCTCTCTCTCTCTCTCTCACACACACAGAGTTTATGGAGAATAATGATGATATTTTTCCTTTAGCTATTTTTAATAAGAGATGAGCAGATGTGTATATATTTGTGTACGTGTCCCGGGTGTGTGTCCTCACGCCCACGCGGGGAATATCCTCTTCATCGGCGAACCGTGCGTTTATTAGGGAATTTGTGCGTTTTTATGTTTTTTTTTTCCTTTTCCCAGAAGTGCTTAAATAAACTGAAAAATGAGAATAGTTCAGAGCAGGTAGAAACGAGTGAACTCCGCCCCCGCCCCGCCCCCTCTCTCTATCACAGGTTTTCTTCAATATTGTGATGTGCGATTGTGGGGGGGTTTTTTTCCCATTTTTTGACCAAATGTCACTTTTTTTTTTTTTTTTTACTCTATTCAAGCCCAATTCTTACACACCTTTAATGAAGAATCTTAATAATTACACTTTTTTTTTTTTATGTCTGAGGGAACAGTCCTTGAGCCAAATCCGTGTCTACAATCATGAGTTTGCAGCAAGACTAAACGGCTAGATTTCCTGAATAAACGAAGCTTTGTGCCTGAAGCTGTTCGGGTTCAGTTCAGGGAGCACGCTTGCACTTCCACATGCAGGTGACGTTTATTAATAAAATACAGAATATTAAAAAAAAAAAACACCAAAAAAAAATCAGGTTTTTTTTTTGTTTGTTTGTTTGTTTTTGTTAAATGAACCTAAATAAAAAAAATTTCCATTCTCTTTACACAGTTATATTTTTTTTTTTTTTTTTTTTACACGAACGAAAAATTATGCAGCAAATAACAATCATTAAACAAACAAACCCAAAAGCAAGTCATGTGACTGGTGATTATGTCTTGTGTGAGTTTGTGCTTTTGATAGTTTGATAGTTTGACAATGTTGACTTATTTCCTAATGAAACTTAATATACATTTTTGTACTTTATTACATCACTCTTATCTTGAATTCTGATTGGCTGATGACATTCCTGACCGCAGCACAGCTGCAGACCCCAGGTGCTTATGAATGCGTTATCATTTCTATAGTAACGAGTCGTTCATAACGGACGGAGTCTCCAGTGGCAGGAGAAGCTGTGACTTTACGCTTCTTTGTGGTTTCAAGCTGCATTTTTTTTTGGGAGGGGCTTATTAACTTCAAGACAAAGAATAGAGAGAGGCTGGTGAGGGAGCGAGTGTTTATAGACCAGCTGTTTTGCGAATGATTCACAACATTGAACTATAAAATTGTCATATACGAGGAATAAACCTGGAATTTTACTATAACACCAACTTCCTGTTTATTATGATTATTATTTTGGACATAAAAGCAGATGAATGTTTTTTTTTAGTAACAAAAATGTCATTACGGGCACACGGTGGCTTAGTGGTTCGCACGTTCGTCTCACACCTCCAGGGTCGGGGGTTTGAGACCCACCGTGGCCCTGTGTGTGTGTGTAGAGTTCGCATGTTCTCCCCGTGCTGCGGGGGTTTCCTCCCCCAGTCCAAACACATGCATGGTAGTCTGATGGGCGTGTCTAAAGTGTCCGTAGTGTATGAACGGGTGTGTGAGTGTGTGTGTGATTGTGCCCTGCGATGGACTTGGACCCTGTCCAGGGTGTAACCCCGCCTCGTGTCCCATGCACCCTGGGATACGCTCCAGGTTCCCTGTGACCCTGAAGAGGATGAGTGGTATAGAAGATGGATGGATGGAAATGTCATTTTCTTCTCTGAACATGAAGTGATGTGAGCTATTTCATTATAAAATGGCAGAACGGGGTGGGTAGAGTTGCCATCAATTTTACTCGCGTAAGAAGTAAACATAACATTAACGATGACCTGAGTAAGAGTAGTAACGTGTCCGGTGGAGAAAATCCACGAGTCGCAGACTACGTGGAGAAGCGTACGTCACACCTCTCCCTGAAAGTCTGTTCTATTTATATGATCTAAAACCTGGGTTCGGGGTGAATCTGCAGATCCCAGTCCTGTGATGGGTACGATCACACACACGACCTGCCACTTTCAACACAAAATCTCTCCCTCTCTCACACACACACACATCAAAACACAACACATTTCCCCAACAGCAGACTGTCTTTATTTTCACACCATGTTAACAACACAAACCTGTCAGCAGCCGGATGGATGAACAGCACAGTCGACGTGCCCCGTCCTCCCGCTTTACACCTAAACACGTGATGTTTACTACAGCTGTAACGACCACAGGTTTACAGGAACGTGCGACTGAAGTACAGGATCAATCACACACACTGCAGATAGACGCGGACCTACACACTCCATCCTGGCCCTTACACTGCTGCTCAAACCTGAGTGCAGCTCACGTGCAAATGCAACACGCCCTGTTAAATATCATTATTTCCATCATAAATGGCCTGTATGAGGACTACATGCAAAACCATTAGAGAGTACGTCTAAAAACAATCATTACACACGTATATATATTTATAATGTCTCTCATATACACATACACATTTATATGTATTAGTATTAACCGTTAAGTTTCTATCTGTTTGCGTCTCTTTTAAATTTTACATGTTCAATATATGACCAATTTTGGGGTGCACGGTGGATTAGGGGTTAGAACATTCACCTCACCCCTCCAGGGTTGCGGGTTCGATTCCCGCCGCTGCCCCTCGTGTGTGTGTGTGTGTGGAGGTTTTCCTCTGGTTTCCTCCCCCAGTCCAAAGACATGCATGGTAGGCTGATTGGCGTGTCCAAAGTGTGCATGTGATTGTGCCCTGCGATGGATTGGCACCCCATCCAGGGTGTACCCCGCCTTGTGCCCCATGCTCCAGGTTCCCTGCGACCCTGTAGGATAAGTGGTATAGAAGATGGATGGATGACATATTTTAAAGGTCTAGTTGTTATCTTAAACATTCGGTGCCCCCGAGTTACTGACTGGCTTCAGTTGTGTGTATGGACCAGGACAACTGTAGACGTTGGATTTATCACATGAGGTGATAAAGAAGTTAAAAGTCTCCTTTTAAGGGGGGAGAAAAAAAAAAAAAAGAAGTGGAGCTGAGCAGCACTGTTGAAGCTGTGGGCGGAGTTAATGTACAGACTGTATACATAGTAGCAGAAGCTTGAAATAAAGAAACTAGCCACATCTATGACCTGGTATTATTATTACTGTGAATCGCAGGGTTTTTCTGAGGTGTGTTTGAAAGGATGAGAATATTACAGGTCTAAATAAATAAATAAATAAATAAATAACCTGTAAACGTTACAAACTGCACCTTTAAATGTTGTTTACGAAACAGGCTTGTACAGACTTGCAATTTTTGACGAGATTTTTCTTAGAGTTCCAGTCAGAGCGTGTCTTATGAGATCAGAGTGAACATTTGAAGTGAGTGAGTGTGTTTGTGTTATTGCCATAAAAACAAATAAATTATTTCTTTATTTATTTTTAAAGATGACAATGACACCTTCAGGACACTAGATGGCAGTAAGGCTCTTTAATAATTCCTCACACCAGCACACACATCAGAGATGATTTATGGATCTTTAGATGTAGATTTTATACAAGACTTAAACTTGTGTCAAACGTTTTCACAAAAAAAGATTACATTGGAAATGAAAACACGTGGGACACGTGACTTCATCCCTGGTGCTAGAAAAAAAAAAAACGCTAAAAGGATTTTTATTAATTTTACAATGACAGCAATTATGGGGCCAATGATCCGAGTCTAAATGGGTGAAAAATCAAAAACATGCTTTTTTTTTTTTTTTTTAAACATCTGGTGAGCACTAGGTGGCGCTGTTCAGAAACTGCACAGGTACCCTCAAGTCATGATGGCTATAATATATTACCAAGCTTGTTCTGAATACACTAAAGCGTCATCGTGATATAGCCTCATGGGCATTTCGACACGCTCATCATCGAATTCGTTGCGTGTTGTTCAAGAATCAACTTGAAGATGATCCGATTTTTGTGAACAATCGGACAGACGGTGTAGCAGGAGTTAGAAACATTCTCATGACGGGAAACGACGTCGACTCTAACTGCGTGCTGAATTCCGTCACCTGTGTACGGTTCTCTGTTCTGCCACAGACTCGAGAGAAGAAGAACACTAATGAATTACAATAGGTGCCTGCGGTGATTGGTCTCCGATTACAACTGACTCCACCCACTCATCAAACATCAGCAAAATGGGTGGAGCCTGAGCTCTTCCTCATCATCTGGATAGAGCTACGAATCAAGCCAAGAAGCGAACACTTACCATAATTACGGTTCGATTTAAAATCATTTGATTTTAAAAACACCACACACTGCAGTTTTAATCTCGTGTGTGTGTGTGTGTGTGTGTGTGTGTGTGTGTGTGCGCGCGCGTGTTGTTTACTTCACAGCGTAACCGACGATGTGTGGTTTAACGAGGACAGACAGCGGAGCCTGGATGTGGCGGAGCTGCACCTCCGAGAAGCCGGCTTGTTCCACGTGCTGCCAGGTCGCGCGGGTCAGCTCACAGCCGTCACCGAAATAGTACCTGTAACACACGGGGAAGCCGTTCACCTCGACAACACGCTGCAGACACCGCGTGTTCGCTTTTAAACGTCACAGTAACAGCAAGACAGAAAAACCCCCACAGCGACAGCGTCTGAGAACGAGCGCGATCATATAAACCTCTCAGAGCGGCTGGTCTACACAACTAATCCCCGCCTCCTGACCAATCACGGTCCAGTATTCAGCAGCGCTGTGGTGTCAAAGTTAAACAAGGTCATGTGGAAGTATCTTATCATCTCGCACAAGAGATTAAGCTCCATACAGTTTGGATTGAAAATATTGGCACCCGTGTGTGTGTGTGTGTGTGTGTGTGTTCAATACCAGAAAGGCTGAATAACGTTCTGCAGAAAGAAGGTCCAGCTAGATTCCTCAGCCACAACGTGCTCCATGAAGAAAAATGCTCCACCCTGTAAACCAAAACTTTATTAGTGTATTAACTGTTTATAATCTGTACCCCCACCCCCACCCCCACCAACCAGAGGAATGGGGATTGTCTAGTGTCACTGTGTGTTTTTATAAATGTCCTTCGGTTAAACCTTATTAACTGTTTGAACGGGTTTAAGGTTACACTACACCAGTGTTTCTCTATTAGGAAGGATTCTGAGTAGAACCCATTATCCACAGAACCCTTATTGGAACCCCTGAGAGTGCAACATGTAACCTCAATGGTTTTTTTGTTTCTAATAAAATAAAATCTGGACTTGTAGTTTGTTTATTTGTTTTATTCATTAATAATCCATCAACAACAACAAGATTGGGCTATCACCCTGAGGACCACCGTCACCCTGAGCACCACCGTCACCCTGAGCACCACCGTCACCCTGAGCACCACCGTCACCCTGAGCACCGAAGCCCCACAAGGTTGTGTCCTGAGCCCAATGCTCTACTCTCTCTACACACATGACTGTGTCCTCCCACAGCTCCAGCTCGATCATCAAGTTTGCCGACGACACAGTAATTATGGGCCTCATCTCCAACAACGACGAGGCCTCCTACTTCGACGAGGTGGAGAAACTCGTAGCTTGGTGCCAGGCTAACAGTCTCTCTCTGAATGTCAGTAAAACCAAGGAGCTGGTTGTGGATTTCAGGAAGGAGACAGCAGAGGAACCACACCCCACTCGAGATCGGCGGGACCCGCACGAAGAGAGCGAGCAGCTTCAGATACCTTGGAGTACACATCTCTGAGGACCTGACCTGGACTCGTCACATCCGAGCTCAGATGATCGAAGCCAGACAACGTTTGTTCCATCCGAGACTGCCGAGGAAATTCAGGGTCTCCCCAGCGATTCTGCAAAACTTCCTACACTGGGGTCAGAGAACGTTTACGGACAACATTTAGGAACATTTTCTGAGGCTTCCTCTGAAGATGATGTGTGCCAAATTTGGTGATGACCGGATATCATTTAAAAGTAGGAGGAGTAGCGAAAACAGCTTTCCGACAAAATCCAACATGGCGGAAAATCTAACCTGGCAGAAATAGATGGCACCGGATGCGTTAAACCCGTCTCGACCCAGAGAATCCAGGCATGTCTTTTAAGGCGAGGCTTTTACATTTTGGACGCACGGTTCAAAAGTCATGACCATAAGCGTACTTCCAAATTAGACCCAGATTTGACCTGATGGTGGCACTACAGCGTTGGCAGCACTTGGGCCATATTTGGTCAGAATGTTAGTTAGACCCCCCCCAATCAGTGTGCCAAAGTTCACAACTTTTTACCAGATGGTTCTATGGCCTTCTACTACAGATAGACTCCCTAGCCAGAAGAAGAATAAGCAAAGTCAGAATATCAATAATAATAATAATAATAATAATAATAATAATAATAGCAGCCACCTCTCTGAGGATCCTCTTGGCCTCCTGCAGTACCTGACCCGTGTTCTTCACGGAACACAGGACCAGAGTGCACACCACCACGTCCACAGAACCGTCCGGAACCTGCCGCAGGTCCTCAGCGGGCGCCACCAGGAACCGTTCGTACTCCAGGTGCGGGCTGCTCTCCATGCTCTCCTGCAGGTACTTCTGGAAGTTCGGGTTCGGGTCGGTGCACGTGATCGTGCAGCCTGCGGGATAGTGCTCGAAGTTGGCTCCGGTACCGCAGCCGATCTCCAGCACGCGCAGAGGCCCGCGCGGCGGACTGAACCGTGCCAGGCCGCGGAACAGCTCGCGCTTCTGCTCCTTCATCTTCGCGTTGTAGTTCACGGAGAGCTTGTACATGAGGAACGGGAAGAAGCGCCTGTAGAGTCTGTACAGCCCGAGCGCCTCCGCGATCACCAGCGGAACCGTCACGAGCCGCACCACGAGCGTGCACGCGCGCATCAACAACGCCATGTCGTCTCTCTCCACCGGAAACCGAACGTTGTCTCGGACAGTCTCGACGGTTTTTTTTCATTTCCGGAAATAAACCCGTCGGCGGTGGGCGTTACGGTTAGATCCTAAAGCGCACGCGAGGAGACGGGAGCTCATGCATATTCATCGTGCAGCGCACAAACGCCGCGTGTGATTGGCCGGAGTGCGAGTGACGTCACTGAACACTCAGTTCTGCCCTTCAGATAAGTCCCTCAGAACAAAAAGCGCTTCCTCTGCGCTTAGATCAGATCATACATCGGACACCTCCTCTCACACGGTGCTTATGTATCTGAAAGACACTGACACTGAACGTACACTCCACCGTCCACTTTATTAGGAACAGTCTTGAAGCTAGCCAATCAGCCAATCACGTGACAGCAGCTCGGTGTAGGCCTACCAAAGCATGAAGAGCTTTCAGTCAGTGCTTCACACCTAACATCAGAATGGAGACAACAGCTCAGTGAGCTCAGTGGTTTTGACAGTTGGAGTATTTCAGAAACTGCTGGTCTGCTGGGAATTTCACACACAGCAACCTCGTAGAGTTACACAGAAAACAAACAAAACAAACAAACAACAGTAGGTGGAAAGGCGTTACTGATGAGAGAGGTGAGAGGAGAATGAGCAGCAACCGTGGTGAGCAGAAAAGCATCTCAACACTCCGAACCTTCCCGCAGATGAACTGCAGGTGTACAGGTGTTCCTAATAAAGTGCCTGGTGAGGATGTGTGTATGTAGCTTGTAAATCTTCTTTTCAAGTCACCGCTTGTAAGGCAAAGGTCGTCTAC